ATACATCACCATGATTGTTAATTATAGCCCTATTTAGAAACTTGTTATATATGAACCTGTTTTTGTATCACATAGAGGATGGTTTTATATTTTAAGGATTGTAATGTTGATATGGGAGTAACATGATTTTACGGTGGCGGTTTAAGAAAGAGAACATTATTCATCAAGTATTTCTCAACATTTTAATGGTCACTTTTACTGTGATATAAAAGAAACATGAGGTCCTTTAATACTACATTTATATAGTAATAGAGAAAAATGATTTAATTAAAAAATTATATCAAAGATATTCGAAAATTAAGTAAAAGTATATCATAGTAAAAGTGTCATTACAGACACGTAATACTAATTTTCCTTGAGCCATATAGTAATTTTAATTAATTCATGATACTTTTATATCATATTTAAGTATAGGAACTGAAAAAGTATATTACAATTAACTAATTTTACAATGTAATTGCAGCTGGGAGAAAGAAGATAATTTACTTTCCGCATACGCATTGTAGCTACGAATAAATTCCGTGACAATGTAAAAAAACTGTATTTCTGTCATCGTTTACGATATAATCATAACATGTTTTTGTGGAATTACAAAGAGGAACAAAATTTGAAGAGAACCATACATATAATTTGAAAAGCATTTTATTGAAAATTATAATGTCACATGCAATAAAAAACTGTATCACATCTTTATAACAAGTTCTACTGACAAATAATGTAATTTAATTATTTAATACAAATGTTTCTATATTTGTCATGTACACAAGAAATATTTTAAGCACGCTTTTGTAATAACAATATTGTAATGATAATAGTGATACAGATAAACATAGTTTTAAGATTCCATATAGCAACAGATTTTTTTAGTTGTAATTTCTAATTAATTTTATCTAATCGTAGTGTAAATTATTGTGGATAAAAATAAATGCATATTTTTCTATTTACAAAATACAAACATTATCTATACCTAATATCATTTGTATCAGATACATACAGTAGCATTATGCTTCAGGCTTTAAACATTCTTCTCACCATATCTTGAAATTTTTGATTGGCTTCTTGCAATTTGGCATCGTAAATTAAAAATTGTTCTTTAGCAGCACGATTACCCGGTTCCAATGAAACTGCATTTCTTAAATCGGCAACAGCGTTTTCAACATTGTTTAAATTTCCATAGGCTACTCCTCTTCTGTACAAGGCCTTAACATTGTTACTTTCTTTACTTAGAATTTTAGTGCACAAGGAAATTGTGTATTCGTAATTTTTGCGCTTTAATTGACATCCAGCCATATTGTTGTACAAAACTAATCTTAAATTATTAATGTCATGTTCCAATGATTTCTCCAGTTCTAAATCAGATATTGGCTCCAGTGTTACAAGTATTTTGCAAGCTTTACTAAATTTGTGAAATGCATCAACCCACCTATGTTCTTTAAATAAATTAACGCCAGTTTCTTTATATTTTAATGCTACTGAGTACTTTGTCTCTGGATTCCATTCCCAAATTGGCTTATATGATAACATGTTAGTTAATGTTATTTCAAACTTGATAACTAAATCTGCATCTTCTGTTATATCTAGAGTAACTTCTCTTTTTTCACAGATGTTCATCATTTGTATAGCTCGTTCAATTAGACGATCTATTTCGCAATTTGCTTCGCCGATAACTAGCGATTTCTTAGTTATGCCATCTAAAATAACCGAATTATATTTTTCTTTCAAATCCTCTATAGATGCATTAGTAACCTGTATCTTTTCGATAATAACTTCGCAATTTGCACATTCTGATGCTTTTTTAGAATACCGACCAGATTCTATTACATTTGTTGTCACCTTTTTATCAGCCGATACCCACGTTTCAAGAACCATATCGAATTTTAGACAATTTTACCTGTACAAAGTATTAAGG